TTTTTATTAATTTCTAATTAGACCCGTTATTTACTGTAGCTTCGCCCTTTTCTAAATTCAAAATTACGTTCTCAAAAATACATTATTTTACTCTGGTAACATCGACGGTCTGCCGCTGGCTGGTGCAAACAAAAAATGTGGCAGCATTGCACAAGAGCTGTCAAAGAAATTTAATAAACGTCATTCTACGGAGAATTTCTGCAAATCACTTGGCGAAACAACATTTTTGGAAATAACGAAAATACGTCTTTTGCTTTGACTAATCATGCATAAAATTCAATCGTTTCCTGAATATCAAGTGCCCGGCGCACAGCATCAAGATTTTTCACCTTACGAATCGAATGGAGGGTATGTATAGAAACATTTCCAAAATTCACGCTGAAGCGCATTGTCAATTTCAGATCTATTGTGGCCATTGCCGGCGAGGACTATGTAGTGATTGCTGCAGATACTCGCTTAAGCAGTGGATACACCATCCACACACGCAAACAAAACAAATTATTTCAATTGTCTGAGAAAACTGTACTCGCTTCAACGGGATGTTGGTGCGATACCTTGGCGCTCACCAGTTTGGTAAATGCTCGTATGCAAATGTACGAACATCTACACTTGAAAACCATGTCTACAGAAGCCGTTGCCCAAATGTTGTCCATTCTCATGTACAACAGACGCTTCTTCCCATACTATGTATCGAATGTATTGGCTGGGCTAGACACCGAAGGCAAGGGTGTAGTTTATTCATATGATCCTATTGGACACTGCGAGCGCACCACATATCGTGCCGGTGGTTCAGCTGGCACCCTACTGCAGCCAGTGTTGGATAATCAAATCGGCGGTAAAGATAAGGATGTAAAAAACAAACCCAAAGTGTCATTGGAGAAAGCCAAGGAAGTAGCTAAGGATGCTTTTATTTCAGCAGCAGAACGTGATATATACACTGGCGATTCGGTACTTTTAAAAGTCATCACCAAAGATGGTGTTATCGAAGAGGAAGTGCAGTTACGTAAAGATTAAATTAGTAAAGGGTTTGGTAATTTTTGTTTCTCAAAACTTTTTAATTAATAATAAACTTGTAATTTTGAGTACAAACATTTATGCTATTTTGAAGTGATAAAATTTCAAAAATTAAATCTTGCGGAATACTGCTGAGGTGAGAAACTGATCTGATTCCCACTGCTAGCGTAAATCCGACTGCCGTGAGGAGGCTATTCAGCTGTTATTTCTTATATAGTGATGCTTTCCGAAAGGGTTTGGTTATTTATGTTTATTCTTCTCTAAACATTTCACAATACTGCATTTCAATCCTGATCGTAATACTAATGTGCACTCAAGCAATATGGAAGTCCGGTAGCAGTTTTTAGTTTTTGCTTTTTCCCCCGTCGTTTATCAACAACCAAGAATCACATATCGGCGTTTACATACCCCTGAATTAGTCAACTTTTGCCATCGCAAAAGATATAAGCTATCTTCTACTTAAATATGTTTGTATGCATGTATGTATAACCACGTTTGCATATATTTGGTCGATTCTCTTATCGTCTTTGGACTTGCCCTATTACGTGATTCCAACTATTAAGTTTCAATATGCGTTGGTTGGTAAAAGAGTAAAAAAAAAACATTTGAGGGTTTTCTGCTAACCGCATTGTTTATTTAGAGTTTTTGTTTAATTTTTCATTCAGTTTTAGGCATAATAATATAAATAATTTTTTTGTTTATTATAATAGTAATAGTATATGCATGTAGGGTTGTAATCATTATATACTATATATTTATATATGTATGTATGCTTAGGTGTATGTACGTTGTATATTTGCATGCGTATGTGTGTCGTGTGTGTTTAAATTTTTTTTAATATTATTTTTTGCTGAATTATGCATTTGATTATGTTATTTAGGGCGGCATAGACATGTTGCAATCATGTCCCGCACTCGCTCACCCCACTCAGCTGCTCCTCTACTCTTATTTTAAGGTCGAAAAATTTAAAAGAAGGCAATATATGTAACTTTTTCGCAGTTTATAACTAGTTTTATTTGAATTGCATTCCTAAACATAGTAAAATGAACAAACATACAAAACAATGACAAAGAACAAAAACAAAAGTGTCAATCGTAAGCCGCTTTATAAAGTTGCTTTCACATATGTCTGTATGTAAGTCGTATTGTGTTTTTATCATTATCCTATTTAATAATTTGATTTTTTATAAATGTATATTTTGTTTGTTTTTATCCACGATTATTATTTTATTTTACTTCAATCAAGCCCAAATATTTTATACCAAGCACGCTATTGCATTTCTAATTATTTTAAACTTTATTTAAAAGTATGTACCTACTATATTGTTTTATGCCACCAACTTTTCCAAAGCCAGGAGAGTTAAAGGGTTCGTAGTAGTACACCTTATCCTTGAAAATTTGGCCAAGCGTACATACAGTTATTGCTCGCAAGTACCGCAGCAAGATTCGGTTAGTGTGGATAATCGATTTGTTGTTTTATCTTAGCCGAGGTATAATTTTTTGAAATAAAATATGTATGTATATGAAAATCATTGAATTTAATTTGCATATTTACTTCTGTCCTAGATAACTATGTTTTTAGGTGTTGACTAATGACTACTTTTTTTCTTTATTTAAAACACACACTGCTCGTTTACCACTGATGCCGCTATATTATCAATCATTCATCCATTCATGCTTCATATAAAACTACTGCCGTGCTGAATTGTAGTTAAAATCATCTTTCAGTACCCGCTGATCATGGTTTGTTCATATTTTCTATATTGGCAGAACGGATGAAGTTGGTAGCACCGATAATGGCGGTGAAGGTGATGGTAACTTTGGGATTGCTGAAGTTGTTGGAAATTGTGTTTTAGCTGTTTTTCTTGTTGCTGTACATGCTGGTTGGCGATTCGGCCTTGATGACTTCTATGCTACTAAGCTTCAGGCAGCGGTTTCAGTTCCTTTATCTGTTTAATCAGATACGCCTTTTCATCGTTGAATTGTTCATCCTCTGAACGATCCGTATGGAAATTGGTCAGAAAGTCAACCAATTTAGATTGGTTACGGAGCAAGATATCTAATATGGGCTTCGGCTTATTCGGATTGGCTACAAACACTTTGAAGACGTGAAAGGCCTCGAACTGAATATTACGTGACTTTTCTTTTAGCATATTCATCATGAGCTTTAGGTTTTCCGGCTCCGATATGTATCGTGTCATCACGGTGAAATTGTGTCGATCAAGCAATAGTTCGCCTAATAGTTTCAGGCTTTGTCGCCTAGT